ATAAAAAAGGGAGGGGGGACATACAAAAAATAAAAAACAACGTTAAAAATTCCACAACATTCATAACTTAGGATGGGGCTGGATAAATCAACAGCCCCAGGCCTGCCGGAACAGCCAGGTCTTGGTCGCTTTGGGGAAGGCCGGAAGGGTAGTAAGGGGATCTTCCATGGGAAGATCGTTCCATAGGGCCGGAGCAGCTACAGAGAAGGCCCTCCCCCGGGGAGTCGCCAGGTGATATTGACCGACAGATGGAATCCGGAGGAGGCCTAGTCTGTGCGATCTTATAGGTCTCTGGGAGGTAACTGGCAGGAGGCGGTCTCTCAGGTAGATTGAGCCCTTTCAACTCCCCCTGTTAATTATGGCCGATCAGTCCATCTCTGGAGGCACTGCTGGGTCTATCAATGCTTCCCCGCTTACTACCAATGAAGTGGAAGCCAGCGCCAGGCCGGGCAGGGCCACCACCAGGGCCTCTAGCCAGAGGCCTCACGCCTCGTCTGCAGCGCTGGATAGGGCCGCTAAACGTAAAGATAAGTCTAGGCCTTTGGCCAAGGCCTCTGGGGCCACAAGCAGGTCACCTTCCATGCTAGTTCCCCAAGGGCCTTCCTCCGTTTCTTCCCTGCACTTGCCTGGGAACCACGGTTGGTCCCTGATCTCCCTTTACCCCAGGCAATAACATCCGAGGAGGGGGAACTGGGGACCCAATCTCCCCTGGCCTTTCAGAAATCAGCTTAGCCTTGATCCAGGCGCCCCCCGTGCAAGGGCCATGGCTACGTTTACACCTACAGCTGCAGGCCTCAGCTGAGGAGGGCCATGAGCTCGGCCTTCCTCCAGAACTCCACCAAATGATTTCAACTGCCATCTCACAGGGTGTGGATGCTGAATTGCATCGCAGGGCCCATTTACCTAGACCGGCAACCTTGCCTAGTTACCCCCCAGGCAGACCCTCCATCATCTTTGTCTTCAGTTTACAGTGAGGATTCGGTGATAGGTGAGGAGGGAGAAGTGGCAGACATAGAATTTTCAGATGATGAGGGCATAGCACAGGACCAGCCTACCTCTTTCGGGTTGTTCCGCCCAGCATTATTTAAGTCCCTCTTGTACAAGGCAAAGGCCATTACCAACATGGGGGGAGCTGCCACTCAGGCTAGTACGGCGGTAGGGCTTGACTCTACGGAACGTCTGTTTGCAGAGCAGGTGCAGGAACAGGATGTCATTCCTTTTCCTAAATTGTTTCTTGATGTTGTTCAGAAACAATGGACGCAGCCAACTGCTGTTACCCCACCTAGTAATGGGGACAGGAAACGGTATACTTTCATGCCAGAGCTGGATGGAATTCTTCAGTTCCCCACAGTAAATCCACCTGTAGTGGCTTTGGCTTCACCAGCCTTAATTCCTTCTGAAATTTCAGAGGGCCTTAAGGCGGAGGAACGTAAAGCCGAATTGGTTATCTGTAAGACCCACCAGGCTACTGCTTGGGCCTTACGGGCGGCCACGGCGGCCTCCTTCTTTAACAGAACCTCGTTGATTTGGCTTAGACAGCTGCAGAGCAGGCTTGTCCCTGATGATATGCGCCTCCACCAGGATGTCAACAAACATCCTGCAACGCAGCCAAGTTCGTGCCTCGAGCTGTAGCATCCAATGTGGCGTCCCGTCGCCTGCTATGGCTTCGCCATTGGCAGGCAGATATTTGTTCCAAATGGCACCTAGCATTTACCCCCTTCAAAGGTGGGGCACTATTTGGTCCTGCACTTGATCCTATCTTAATTGAGACAAGGGACAAGCGCAAGGTGTTCCTATCCACCAACAGATGCACTGACAAAAGGCAGCAGCCTTACGTCAGGCCTTTTGCGCTGGGGACTCTGGGTACAACATCATTCCTTACGTTCCCCAGTACAACAGACCTTACATGCAGATCGGAACCAGGACCACTCCGGCGCCAGGGATAGGGGTCACCAACAAACCCAGAATCAACCTCAGGGCTGGCGGCCATTTGGTGGCGCCAAAAAATGGTCCTTTCGTAGATACCGGTGACTCTCATGAGGTGGGGCCTATTGGTGGATGCCTATCAGCCTTCGCTCACCAGAGACCACCTCTGACGCCTGGGCTCTCCAGACCGTGAGGCTGGGTCTCACTCTAGAATTCCTCTCCATCCCTCCGAGACGCTTCATCAGCTGCCCAGTACCCAGGTGTCAGGTAACAAGGCGTCTAATGGACACTGAAATCCAACATCTTCTATCTATCAACGCCATAGAAGAGGTACCAAAGGGGCAGGAAAGGTTAGGGTTCTATTCTATCCTAATCCTAGTCCCCAAGAACTTGGGAGGATGGCGAGCCATCCTAGACTTGAAATGGCTCAATCTTTACCTAAAATACCAAAGGTTTAAGATGCAATCTCTGAAAAGCATCTTAGCTTGTATACGCCAGGGCGACCTGCTGACCTCTGTTGACATCAAAGACCTTCACGTGCCAATTCATCTGGTGCACCTGCGGTTCTACTTTGTGGGGCGTCACTTTCAATATCGGGCTCTGCCCTTCGGCTTCTCATCGGCCCCTCGGACCTTCACGAAGCTGCTGGCGGTCATAGCTCCTGGTGGTCATAGCTGCTGGTGGTCATTCTCTTCGCTTGATACCCATAAGGGTCAATTGTTACCTGGACAACATATTAGTCCTGTCATCATCACAGAACCAAGCGCTCCAGGACTTGCAATACACGATCGACACCTTGCAGAGACACGGCTTTATCCTGAATTTCCCAAAGAGCCACCTGCAGCCAACCACATCACTCCTCCACCTCGGGACTGTCATCAACTCGGTGAGGTACGAGGTGTCCCTGTCTCAGGAGAAGCGACAAAGCCTGCACATTCTGGTGAGTCACATAATGTCGCAAAGATCCTGACTGCTACCGACTCTTTCCCAGCTACTCGGGAAAATGTTATCCTGTATAGACATTGTTCCCTGGGCACGGTTCCATGCTCACCCACTCCAATGGTTTTTGCTCCCCTTCCAGAGGGCTCATACCAGTCACTCACAAATCAGAGTCCGGCTACCACCCAAGCTGTTATGGTCTCTCCGGTGGTAGGCTTCCTCCAAGCTACTCAAGGGATGCCTCTTCAAGGAGCCAGACCGCATCGTGATAACAACGGATGCGAGCCTCTTCAGGTGGGGAGCCCATGTCCTGGGCCAAGTCGCTCAAGGTCGCTGGACGGACCAGGAATTAAGGAACAGCATCAACTGGCTAGAGCTGCGAGCCATCCACCTATGCCTCCACAAATTCCGGAACTTGGTGACGAACAACCATGTACAAGTTCTCACCGACAACATGGCCTCCAAAGCTCATGTCAACCGCCAGGGAGGCACCCGCTCCGAGTCTCTGATGATGGAAGCAGAGAGACTCCACCACTGAGCAGAAAGCAGGTTGTTATCGGTCCAAGCGGAGCACATCTCGGGCGTATCCAACATGCAAGCGGATTCGCTGAGCAGAGCTACCGTAGACCAAGCGGAGTGGCATCTCCATCCTGCTCTTTTCCAGGAACTCTCTCACAGGTTCGGCCAGCCTGATGTGGACCTCTTTGCTCAGCCTCACAACTCACAGCTGCCACAGTTTTATACCAGATACTGGACACCGGGGGCGGAGGGTACCAACACGCTCCGCAGCCCGTAGCCAGAGGGCCTCCTTTATGCCTTTCCACCTCTACCGATCATCCTGCTTGTCATTCAGAAAATCCTAGCGGAGCAGGCGGAGGTCCTCCTGATCGCACCAATGTGGTCATGTCGCCCTTGGTACACCGACCTTGTGCATCTGTCGGTCTCACGTCCTTGGAGAATCCCGGACGGCCAGATTCACCTCTCTCAGGGGGCTCTCATTCACCCGAACCCTCAGCTGCTGCAGTTAGCCATGTGACACGTGAGTGAGCTATCTTGACTAGACTACATTTTTCAAATAAAGTCATCGGCATGATTCAGGCAGTGCGATGCCCATCCACGACTTGTATTTACGAGGCCACCTGGCAGGCCTTCTGCAGGTGGTGTTGGACAGCTACCGCTGACCCAGTCAGGGCATCTGTACCACAGGTATTGGAGTTTTCGCAGATGGGCTTAGACAAGGGCCTGGCGCCCAGTACGCTTCACCGCCAAGTCGCAGCCTTATCAACAGTGATTGGCGGCGACCAGGGCCGTTCACTGATGCAGCACCCAAGAGTCCGCTCATTCCTGAAGAGCGCAACAAACATCAGGGGTCCAGTTATACATCGCTACCCTACCTGGGACTTGTCCCTGGTACTCAAAGCCCTCACGACTACGCCATTCGAGCCCATTCACAAGATCAGTCTCAGATTGCTGACCTTCAAGACTGTCTTCTTGGTGGCCATTACATCTGCCAGGAGGGTGTCAGAACTGGCAGCACTGTCAGTTCGCACGGATCTCTGTATCTTTCACCCTAACAGAGTCGTCCTGCGGTTGGACCCGGCCTTCCTACTGAAAATCAACACTTGGTTCACAGGGCGCAGGAGCTCATCCTCCAGGACTTCTGCCCGCGCCCGTCACAGGAACGTCAGTGGCATCACCTTGACGTTGGCAGGACACTTCGCCGCTATGTGAAACGCACTGCGACGTTCAGGAGATCAGAGGCACTGTTTGTCTCCTTTCAGCCATCATCCATGGGATAGAAGGTATCTTCACATACCATTGGCCGCTGGTTGAAGGCATGCATCGCCCTTTCCTATGACAATCACTACCGGCCGGTTCCCAGACACATCACTCCCATTCCACCAGGAGTGCGGCTACCACACTCCTGGTGTGGCCTGGGCAACACAGGCATCAGTGGAAGACATTTGCAGGGCGGCGACCTGATCATCACCTTTATCAGACATTACAAAGTGGACATGTATGCCTCGGCTGAAGCCTCCTTTGGGTGGCGAGTCTTGCAGAGGGTGCTCTCTCCTCCTGGGGACCCTGACCAGCCTAGCTCCCGCCCTTGACTTTTATTGCTTTGGCATGTCCCATGCTTGGATTTCCCAAGCAGCACACAGAAGAATGACTGTTGACTTACCTGAACGGTCCTTCTATGTGCGTTGCGAGGGGAATCCAAACCCGCCCTCGGCTTCGGCTGGTCCGGGCACTAAAGTCTGTCCTTGTTTCACTACTATAGCTACCGGTCTCTTGACTATTGACATTGTTTGATTACTTACCTTATTGGCTACCGCCTTCAGTGACATTTGTTTCACCTCTTGATTCAGCTGACCTTCATACAAAACTGAACCATCCAGTCAGAGGAGATGTGGTCAACAATTACGTAACTCAGTCTCTAGGCTAATGGACAAAGTTAACCCATGCTTGGATTCCCCTCGCAGCACACATAGAAGGACCGTTCAGGTAAGTCAACGGTCATTTAGAATGTTTGAAACTGCAATCCAGACAAATGTCACAAAACAGTATGAAAATTCATGTGTTTTCAATTCAGCAGTCAAACCAATGCCAAGAGTAAGAAAAATGTAGATTTTGGAAAATCAATTTGTACTATTGAGGAAACTATATTAGGAATATAGATACCACGATACTTGGTCATGTAAACAAAACAGAATTGCAGCTCAAACCAACAAGTAATTGTTCTCATTGCCAGGAAATTCCTTCTTAATTCTAGGTAGGATCCCTAATAATCTTCCATTCACTGCTTCTTGTCCTGCCTTTAAGTGCTTTGGAGAGTAAGTGAAGCTCCTCTTCTCTGTGACAGCCCCTCAACCACTGTGACAGCCGACATGTCAGCCCTAATTCTTCTCTTTGTTAAAAGAACATATCTAGTTCTCTTAACCATTCATCCTAACAGTTTAGCCTCCAGAACGTTTCTGTAATCTTTCTAAGCATCATTTTTCTATCCTGGTGACCAGAACTGGATGCAGTAGACTCACCAGTGTGGTATAAAATGGTATTCTCACTTCTCATGATCTTTATGCGATACTTGATGCAGCCTAAAAGCAGACTGGCTTTTTGGGCAGCTGCAGCTCAAGTGCTGAGTTGGGAATCCTAGTGGACAATCACTGATATGTGAGCCAGCACTTGAGCTGCAACAGGCTCTTTCTTTAGCAAACTCACGCTGGCTTCTAGTACAGGTAGTCCTCGACTTACAACCATAATTGGGCTCAAACTTTATGTTCCTGTGAAACATTTGTTACGTGAATTTTGCCCCACTTTTCTTCCTCCAGTTGTTAAGTGAATTAGTCTACCCAGATCATCGCAGTTGTTAAGTTAGTGACATGGTTGCTAAGTGAATCTGACTTCTCCACTTACTTTGCTTGTCAGAAGGTCGCAAAAGGGGATCACGTGACCCCGGGACACTGTGACTGTCATAAATATGAGCCAGTTGCCAAGCATCAATTTCCATTATGTGACCATATGGATGCTGCAATGGTCATAAGTGTGAAAATGGTCATAAGTCACTTGTTTCAATACCATTGTAACTTTGAACGGTCACTAAATGAACTGCTGTAAGTTGAGGACTACCCATAATCGCCTTGTTCATTTCTAGTTTCTTGGGCTAATTCCATTTCCTTTCCTGAGCTCATACGGCCCAAGAGGCAAAGGGAAGAAGGAGGAATTGTGTCTGGGAGGGCTTGTGTGAGGCCCAAAGCCTGAGAGGACAAAGCCCCCAGTTGGAAAGGGGAACCTCCGGCTGCCCCCACTTCCACCCCCATATCAGCCAGAGGGGGGGTTCTGAAGCCGCCCAAGAGGCCCCCACTTACTTGCTGAAATCATAGAGCAGCTTCTCAAAGATGAGGATGGGCCCTGTGCTGCTCAGGATGATGAGGGGCTGCCCTGCCAGCAAGCAGAAGGCGGCGCCCGCAATGGCAGTTCCCAGGAAGCTCTCCATGACGCCCTGGGGGGAGAAACAGCACCGCCTGAGTCCCTTCAAAAAGGAGGACCATTCACGGCAGGCCTCCTGAATTCTGGTCCCCCCCCCCCCGGCCACTTTCCCATATCTGCGGACAGGGAGGCTGCCCCATGGGAGCCCTCGGTGCTCCTGCCTTGGGTTCCAGCCGCACCGAAGGGCCAGCCTTGGGAGCAGACTAGCTGTGACTTTCAGATTACATATTCAAACCTCAGCCAACTCTGCAAAGCAGACCTGAAGCGGCACAGAAGTGCCAAAGCCTCCTTGTTCCTGGCTGCTCAGGCCTTGGGACATCAAGGGCCAAAATAGTACAGATTCTCCAATGCTAATGGAGAGACGTTTGGGGGGGGATGTTTGGGGGGCTGGCCTGAACTTGCCTGGTAGTTGTCAGTAGCGTCCCCCAACAAGCCACCAAATGTAATGGCATTGGCGATGCAGCCCAGGTAGATGAAGAGCACAGCAGAGATTGACTGGATATGGAAGCCATCATAGAAGTCGCTGAAGAACCAGGGCAGCTTCCTCTTCAGATCCAAATACATCCCCCCGCAGAACCTGAAAAGGAAGCAGGGCCACCTGTGCTCTCTTGGCACTGAAGGGCTTCTTCCCATTCGGTGTCCAGAGCGCCCAGCTTTACTCCTGAACTCACTTCCCCTTGGCAAGATTTTCTAGCCACACACTATTCTGCTGCTGATGGCAACATCATTCCCTTCCTTGCAGATTTCCCTGAGCTCCCATAACCTCATTGACCATCTTTAATTGGCCCTCCTGGATCTTGCCCTGCTAAGTGAGGGGCAAGCTTCCTGAAGGTTCTGCGCACAAAAGGACAGGGAAAGGGCCAATGCTGCATGATGCCCACTGGCTAACATTCACGTCACCTGGTGGTGGCCGAATTACCACAGTTTGTATCAATCCCATTGGAAGCAGGGATAGAGAGAGAAAGAGTGAGGGGCTGAGTCCTCACTTGCCCTTCTCTAAAGTAGATGCCAAAGCTGATTTTTCCCATCCAGGTTTCTGCACTGGCCAGGCAGAAAGAGCTGGGGGTAGAGTGGTGAGGGTGGAAAGCTCGTCTTCCAGGGGCTTAAGCAGAAACCTCCTTTCTAAATATGGAAAGGCAGAATGGTAGGCCAAATCTTTCTTCTCCAGCAATTCAATGCTTCTCTCTACCCGAACAGCAGGGTTTTTTTCTTCACTGCTGCCACCTGATTGCAGAGACATTTTTCTCACCGTCCAGTCCAGATCAGCTCTTCCCCAATTTCATGGACAGCAGGAAGATCATCATCTTCGTTGCCCCCACCCCCACCCCCTGCTGCTCCTCCAACTGCCCCGTTCATCTGGGTTGCTTCGCTCAGAGAAAACACAGATTTTCTAGGAAGAAAATGACATGAAATATTAGTACACGAAGGATACAAATGAGCTCCTGTAATACAAGTTGGGGCCAGTTGAAGGCAGATATTTATTAGATTTCTATCACTTTTCCTCTAAGAGCTCAAGGCAACCTACAGAATCCCTTTCCCCTCCTCCTCCTCCTCCTCAAACAGATGAGGTAGAAGGACCATGATCGGTCCAATGTCACCCACCAAATTCTACAGAATTTGAGCCTCTTTTTCTCTAGTCCAGATCTGGGCATTTTATGGGCCCTGGGCCACATCCAGCCCTTTGGCTGTGCCTCTCTGGTCCATCCTGGTTTGTACATAGATCTAAAAATATGAGCAAACAAAATACATACACCTATCAATTCTGGAAAAAGTTGAACTACAGTTCAATTGGAAATTAGAAATCAAATATAAATAAGTGGTTTATTCAAGGTTAAGGTTTATTCAATTTGTATGCCGCCCTATTCCCGAGAGACTCAGGGCGAAAGAAGGCAGGAGAGGCCAAGTTGGGCCAACTCTGCACTGTGGTCTACACTCCTTCAGTCACATATGATGCAGCAAGGAGAGAAAGCACTTTTCTGGGCCTGTGCAGCGCTCACCCCTCGCCTGGAGCAGCCTGAGGAGGGGGAGGGGGAGGCAATGGTGGTCATCATATGGGGGACCCAGGCTTGGCCACTCACCACTGCCTTGGTTGAAGCTACTCAACTGGTTCTCATAGCTATGAGGCCGGGTGTCAGGACCTCCATTGTCAGCCTGGCATCTTGCTGGCATCCTGCCATCAAAGGGGAAGGGACGGGGGAGGCATTTGAGGCAATCCACACCTGTGTATCTCATAGTGGGAAATGGGGAGGGGGAGCTTACCTGTGAAGAAGACCAGAGCTGCTTGTACCAGTTAAGCCAGGCACCTTCAGGGCCGTTTGCCCTGGGTGTGAAATTCCAGCAGCCTAAACAACCTACAACATTGTGGTGGTCCTGGATAGGGTGGAAATGGACCGGACATTGAGGAGAAGAATTGGGTTTGGCTCTTTGTATCGAAGATTTGTACCACCTTCCTGCAGCTTCACCTTCCTGCAATCTTTATTCAAAGTCCAATTCATTCAATTGGAGTCGAGAGTCTGCTTTCCTAAATTATTGTTTGGGGAGACAGGTCTGACCCAGGGCTTGGTCTCTTGTTTTCTAACATTGCCCCTTAACCACTAGACTAGACCAAACGTTAAAGATCAGCTGGTCCTGTTTTGATACAATGTAAATAGACCAGGCTAGATGCATTTTTACATTAAGATGGCATTAATGCTGTAGTTCAACTTTTTCCATGTATAAATCATGTATGTATGTGATTTATTTGCTCATATTTTTAATCTATGTAAAAACCAGGATTAATCCCAAAAGAGGTCCTTTCCTCCTGATATTAAGATGGAATGAGGCTCCCTTGGACAAAGGAACCCACTTACCTCTTCTCTGCAGAGGGCACTTTTTTGGGTGGCTCTATCCGAACCTTTGGATCCCACCCGCCAGGAGGAAGGACTGTGACTTCATCCAAAAACTCGTCTAGTCCTGCTATCAGATCTTCTCTGTCTCTTGCTTTGTAGGCTACATCACTGAATAGCTGCATACGAAAAGGAAGAGTCATTAGCTAGGAAGCCATGGTGGAGAGATCAGCCAATCTCCCATGTACAATCGTGCTTAGTTCTTCACTTCTTGTATTGTATTTAAGCACAGTACTGAATGCATTAATGAGAAAACATTCCAACTGAGTAACTATTGGAATGTATGAAGAATCTATGAAGAATGGAATCTATGAAGAATGGTTGCAGGAACTGGATATGTCTAGTTTAATGAAAAGAAGGACTAGGGGAGACATGATAGCAGTCTTCCAATATCTCAGGGGTTGCCACAAAGAA